GGGGCCTGTTTACTAAGGAGCGATGTCCTGGGACACTGGGGCCTGTTCAATCAGGAGTGATGTCCTGGGACACTTGGGCCTGTTCAGTCAGGAGTAATGCGACAGTGTACATTGCCAAAGCCCTGAGTTTTACTGTGGACATACAGATAAGTGAACTGTCTCCTCAGCTGGCAGTCACGCCCCTGGGTGAAGAAAGGTTTGGGTGGAGAGTAGATCACCCTGTCCTGTGTTATTTCGCACCCCACCCCAGTAGCAGTGACTCTGGTGAGGATGAATATCATTACGAAACCTTGAGCCAATTAATGGAGGGAGGATAAATCCAAACCCAACAGATACTATCATCTGTCATCTCACATTCTTATTTCTTCTTGTTTCCCGATAGTGAAGACAGTTATAAATTGTCGTTTTTCTCGTTCCTTTTAGTCATCGTCTGTACAGAGCAGGGAGGGATGCTAGTTGAATATTGCACTACAACTCGTGCAGGAAACAGTGATTGATCATTCACTGAAAGGTTCCCATTAGTGTCGGTCCAGGAGCAGGTCCTTGTTATGGCTTTTTTTTTGTGTGGGGTGTGCTTTGATGTGGCTGACCTGCTTAGCTCTATGATGCTGTGACAGGAGAGGATGTGTACGTGGCTCAGTGAGCCCTTGCCAGTACAACATGTAGGAACGTTCCAAATCTCAGCTGAGATTTCAAGGCCAGCTTTGAAGATCTAATATCGATTGTGACCAGTCACTTATCATGTATTATTTTAATTCTAGAATGCGATGCTGAGGTTTTATAGGGAGGAGCTGCTTGCATTACTGAGGGCTGAGAGGATGCCGGGTTTTTAATTGGTTGATTTGCAAAATGCACAGTACAGCAGAAGGAAAACCTATTTTTAACGGACAAACACAACTCAAACTCAGCGACTCAGCTCAGCAAGTTCTCCAGAAGGTGAGGCGGAACCTCCGATCCTGTACCCAGTGATTGAGGACCCTCTGAACCTACACCCATCCCTGTAACTGGAGGGATCAAGAAGCTCTGAGTTGCTCTTAACATGTTGCTGTGAGCTGAACCTTCAGCGAGTCATCGAATGGCAGATTTCAGCGAACAGTTTTCTGTTCACTCGTCCCTTAATTGCCGCTTTTGAAACTGAATTTGTTTGAGATGTTGCCATTGCTGATGGAGCCAGCATTTGATACCCATCCCTAATTACCCTCAACAGCACTCGAGAGTCAGTCACGATACTGTGGGGTCTGGACTTACACGTAGACCAGACCAGGTAAGGATGGCAGATTTCCTTCCCTAAAGGACAGGAGTGAACCTGATGTGGTTTGAGGACAATTGATAGTCTCGCGGCCAGCATTATTGAGACTAGCTTTCAATTCTAGAGTTTTATTATAACAGTTAAAGCTAATTTAGTATTGGCTCTTGAGAGATGAACACCTCATCCTGCCCAGTATGGACACAGACCATGGGCTCAGTGGTGCACTGGTAGTGTCCCTATCACTGGGCCAGGCAGCCAGGGTTCAAGTCCCAACCATCTTGGGAGTGTGTCATAGTCTGAGTGAGCAGGTTGATTAAAATTAACTCGACACGGGGCTAGGGAGCACGAGGACATCATGATGCTCTGGGTAGTTTGATCCCATTGGGGCAGCAATGATATCCCAGCGATGGCTCCCCATGGAAACAGGCCAAACATTAGATTTGGTCATGTGGCATTCCTCCTGACATTCCCTTACTACAGAAGTGTTTTCTTGTTCAAACACGACAGGTTTACGTTGATGTTGAGAGAAACACAGCACAGATACACTGAGCATTTATCTACTCAAACTGGAAGCTTCTACTTAGGCCCAAGATGCTGACTGGAGACAGCCCAGACTGTAGGAGGAGCCACCCTTGACCTTATCAGTTAGCTGCTGTCTTTGGGGTCCTTCGACAGACTGATTTAGATATGCATTTAAGGTTTGTTCCTTCCACATGGGTGTGTCATCAGTCCAGAACCTTCCTGCTGTGAGGTCTGGCTAACAGAGAGAGACAAGAGCTGAGGGTGCACATTGTGGCTCCAAACAGAACCCCCCATTCTGTGGTGTCAATTGGCTGGTAGCAGCATGCTTTCTGTTCAGTTTGTACAGCTCCTTCCAGCTGCATGCTATTGATTATTTTCACTCTTCTTCCAACGTCTAAAATAGTTTCCATGATACACCGACTTCCATCTTCCTGTAAATTCCTTTCTTCCTTTCGTCCTTCACTTCATTTTAGTCCTCTGCTTTTACCCTCCTGGAATATATGTTACCCTCCAACGTTCTGGTCCTACTTCGCCATCTACTGGTAAAGCAGGGATTAGCTTGCATCTATGAGAGCAGGTCAGGTCAAAGGTCATGTAGGGGCAGAACACATTAGGTCATTCTATTTGACATGCTATCTCCCCAGATAATGAACCGTATGGGCCAGAAAATGGAATATCGTATTTTCGATCGTTCAGCTGAGAAGGAACCCTTCCCTCGGGTGCTGGCGGTAAGAAGTGCACTGAGAAAGTATATCACGCACTTTGTGTCTTTAAATGGTGTTCTGTTGTACAATTGGCACCAATTGATCGCCTTAGCCCACTTCTAACTCTAGCGTGGTTCTTGAGCTGGTGTGCACGTTTGTGTCCTGTTACTAACCTCTGACTGGCATCAGTACCCTCCTATGCCACACCTCCTGCTTTGGGATAGGTTTGGTGTCGTGGGAGTGTGTGGTGGGGTTTATGTCTGGGCTCTCCTCCATAGATCCCTTTTCCACTCTGGTCCCCCTGCTCCCATTTCTCTTCCGTCCCAGCCCTGGTCAACTAGGACTTTCCCTTTGATTCCTGCCCCTTCCCCAAGCTCACCCCTTGTCGCATCCTGAATAACAGGCCCTCCAGGATAAGCCTCTACACACTACATGCACTTCTCATTGCCTCTTCCTCCATTTCTACAGTCCTACAACTCCCATCCTAATATTACGGTGAGTCCTTTCTAACCTCATGGTGAGTGTACCTTCACTTCACAGACAGCTCAAGAAGGTAGTTCTCCGCCAAGTTCCTGGGATGAGCAGTAAATGCTGGCCCGTGTCCCAGCTAACGCATGACCTTTCTTTAAAATAAATCCTTCAAAATCTATTTCCTCAAGGAGATCTCCAAGCTCTGTCCTCAGATCTTCTCCTAACCCTTCTACATCTGTAATGTTCCTGTCCAGCTAGGTGGTCAGGCTGTATCTTGATGCTCTGGAGATCTGTGCTGTAGGGATGTGCTGTCCAAGGACTTGTAGCCAGTGTGCCTGCTCCCTGGGAGATGGCCTTTAATCGCAGCTTCTGAACAAAGTAACCTCCATAGATATTGCATGATGATTGTGTCTGTGAAAAGTCGAGATGTTCCAGTTTATCGTATCTCATCTATCCTGAATAATGTGTCATCAGCAAACTATTTGACTGTAGTGGGCAACAGAGTCTATCGCAATCTTTCCTCCTCATTCACACACATGCAAACACATAATAGCAGGGACCCTGCAGCGTTTGCCCCTTGCTTTGGTGTTGAACCCAGGTATTGTTGCTGTTTTGATCTAGAGTCATAATCACCCACTCACTCCAGCCTGAAATCCAAACCCTTCACTTTTAATGAAGTTACCAGAATGGGCAGCCGCTGTTAAAGCCTACAGCTGCATGAAACTTCTCGGGGCGTGTCCTGTAATCCCACATGCATGTGTGTACACTCCCAACCCGTGTGTGAGGTTCATCCCTGTGATCACCCCTCATCCTAACAGGACACCACACCTAAACTCAGCATTTGGACACCAAACACCACCTACATCCATCAGAAAGATCTCCCAGGTAGTCCACAAACAAGGACCACAAAGTGCAGAGATGGCTGTAATGTAGACAGGTGCCACAGGTTCTTTGCTTAGCCAATCTCATAGGCAACAATGATCAGCTGAGGCTGAAATGTGGGACAGGGTTCCAGAAGCGCTCCCTTCTCTTTTTTTGGGCATCCCCCAGAGGGTGGGCTTAGTTTGACATCGCGCCTCACTGTCCCCACCACCACCACCACCACCCCCCCCCCCCCCCCCCCCACCCCCCACCTCACTGCTGCTCTGGTCTCCAGGCACAGTCTCTGGGGGTGGATTGATATCCTGTTCTTCAGTGGCTCCCAGCATTGGGGGGTGTGAGGGTGAGTGAACCACAGAGAGCAGTGTCCCACCTGCAGCTAGTGGAAGCTGCTGAGAGTTTGATGGATGTGACACCTTCGTAACTAAGTTCTGGGCAATTCAATGCCACTGTCATCTGCCCGTCTTTCCCTACCATCGTGTCCACCTCTCAGCATCGTGCTCTCGCTTTTTCCATAACATTCCTAGGAGCAGAGATGCATGGTTCCCCTTTGGTGATAGGTATCTTTGACCTCTAGGCTATCTTCCCATTTTAAATCTCATAATGACCCCTCACTTAGCCTCAGCACCACCCACCCCCAAATAAACCTGGCACCAATATCTCTCTGCTGTTCAACTCCAAAATGGCTCATTTTCACAGTCCATCGCCTTCTCATACATTTTGGCTTCTTGGAGCTTCCTCGATCCTCCAACGGGCTTCAGATGGTGAATTTCCCGGACTAATCCACCTCCCAAGAGCTCACAGGTGGGGACACTGGTGTTTCCAGTGAAGAAAAAGGCTGAGCCTTCCTGAGGACCATGTCTGATATTCTTCACTCTCCCTCAATGTACATCTGTAGATAAATGTACCTGTTGGAATTCAGACTTGATCAATTGATTAGCTCTGGGTTGATTGATTAACTTTGACTGGCTTGATCAACAAATACTGACCAAGATTCTCACCTCACGTTTGTTTTATTCCAGAAAGAGTTGTAGATTTTATAAATGTGTTAGTTTAGACACCATTGTTAACCCTGGGCACTTACATTAGAGGCAACAAAAGGACATGTTATAACCAGCTCTCATTAATATTAAGCCCTTGCTGATCCTAAGCACAGTGACATTCCTCCTTCTCCAGTATTTCACCTTGTGAGTTTATAGACGTTTTCTGTCCAGAGATGTTATGGCATACCTCTTGAGCAGGTGGGACTTGAACTTGGGGCCTCCCGGCTCAAGAGAAAGAGACACTACCACTGTGCGACAGCCCCTTCCTTGGGGTTTATGTACATGCCACTAAATGCTCCCTTCAGTCACTGGGTGGTTGTCATGGTACAAATGATCTGAAAATCCTCCTCAGCCATCTGTTTAAGAAAATTCCAGTAACATTTCATCTGAGCTGTGGAGGAACTTGGAGAGGGAGGAGAAAGATCCAGTTGTCATGGTCCACGCTTGCCTTCGTTACTCGGACCTTTTGAGTATAGGAGTTGGGAAGTCGTGTTGAGGTTGTACAGGACATTGGTGAGGCCCCTTCTGGGATACTATTGTCCAGTTATAGGAAGGAGAGGGTTCAAGCTGGAGAGGGTTCAGAAGAGATTTACCAAGATGTTGCTGGGTATGGAGGGTTTGAGTTATAAAGAAAAGCTGGATAGGCTGGAACTTTTTACACTGGAGCATAGGAGGTTGAAAGGTGACCAAACAAGTTTATAAAATAATGACCGGTATGGATGGAGTTAATCAATGTTGCCTTTTCCCTAGGATGGGGGACTTTCAAGACTAGGGGGCACGTTTTTAAGGTGAGAGGAGAGGGATTTAAAAAAGACATGAGTGGCAAATTTTTTACACAGAGGATGGTTCGCGTGTGGAATGAACTTCCTGAGGAAGGGATGGATGTGGGCACAGTTACAATGTTTAAGAGACATTTGGCTAAGTACATGAAAGGTTTGGAGGGATATGGGCCAGGAGCAGGCAGGTGGGACTAGTTTAGTTTGGGATTATGTTCGGCGTAGACTGGTTGGACCGCAGGGTCTGTTTCCGTGCTGCATGACTCTATGATACAGGTACAAACAATATCAGTAGAAAGTGGAAAGAAGTTCTCCTGAGGGAGTATGAGCAGCTAGGGGGTTAAATTACAAGTCTGAACTGAAAAGGTAATAATCTCTGGATTACCACCAGAATCACGAGCAAATTGGCACAGGGTCAACAGGATTAAAGAGGTAAATGCAAGGCTCAAAAATTAGTGTGGGAGAAAAGGGTTTGAATTCATGAGACATTGATACCAATCCTGGGGAAGGAGGGAGCTGTTCTGATGGGACGGGCTCCATCTGAATCAGGCTGGGACTGTCACACAACTAGGGCTGTAATAGGGCTTTAAACTAAATAGTGAGTGGTGGGGTCATTTGCGTGGAAAATAATGGAATAAATTAAAGGCGGCGGGGAGGGCTCAGCAGATGTTATTGAAGTTTCCAGAACAAGTGATAGGACAGAGGGTGTGGAAAGGGTCAGGAATCTAACTTCAAGCACAGCAGATGAGGGGACAGCTATGAGAAAGGGAGGCAGTCAGTGCAGGATTGGGGGTGCACGCAGTATACAAAACAAGGTAAGTGAGTTTGTAGCACAGAATGAAATTGGCAGGTACAATGTTGTGAGTATCACAGAGAGGTGGCTACAAGGGGATCAGGGCTGGGAACTAAATCCTTGAAAATACACATCCTATCAGAAGGACAGGCAGATGGGCAGAGGGGCTGGGGTTGCCTTGTTAGTAAGAAATGGAATTACATCAATAGCAAGAATTGATAGAGTTGGAACGTGTAGAATCTGTGTGAATAAAGCTCAGGAACCGCAAAGGGAAAAAAGACCATGATAGAAGTTTTGTACAGGCCTCCTAACAGTAGTCAGGATGTGGGGAAGAAAATAAATCAGAGGTCAGAAAGGGCATGTAAGAAAGGACTATTACAGTAATTGTGGGGGACTTCAGTGTGCAGGTGGACTGGGAAAATTAGGTTGGTAGCGGAGGTCAAGAAAGGAATTTGTGGAATGTTTACAAGATGGTTTTGTCTGGAGCAGCTTGCAGTAGAGCCCAGTAGGGAACAGACAATTCTGGATTTAGTAATGTGTAATGAGGCAGACTTGATTAGGGAGCTTAAGGTGCACGAACCCCAAGTGAGCAGTGACCATAATATGATAGAATTCACCTTGTAGTTTGAGAGGGAGAAGCTGAAATCAGATGTAATGGTGTTACAATTGAGTATAGATAACTACAAAGACATGAGCGAGGAGCTGGCCAGAGTGGATTGGAAGGGGGGCCTAGCAGGGAAAATAGTGGAGCAGCATGGGCAGGGGTTTCTGGGGGTAATTCGGGAGGCACAGCAGAAATTCACCCCAAGGAAGAAGAAACATGCAAAGGGGATGACAGGCAACCATGGCTGACAAGAGAAGTCAGGGACAGCATAAATGCAAAAGAAAAAACAGACGATGTGGTGAAGAGTAGTGGGAAGCCAGACAATTGGGAAACCTTTAAAAACCAGCAAAGGATAACTGAGAAAGCAGTATTGGGGGGAAAGGATGAAATAGGAGAGTAAGCTAGCTCATATTTTAAAAAGAAAAATTGCAAGCTTTTTTTAAAGATATGTAAAAGGT